AGAGAGCAGTAGAGGTTCAGAAAGCAATTCTGCCACCTGAATGCCTCACTCTTTTTTTTTTTTGAGAACCAAATGAACTTTTTTTTTCAATAGGAATACTGTGCTGCAACAGTGAACTCATGGTTGTGGCGTGGCCATATGAGCTCAAATGCGTCACATTCAGGGATGGTACTATTGAAACAAAGTATCGCGGCCACAGCATGTGCACAACCCATACCGCTGCCATTACAACTGAAAGGGGCTGGTCAGGGGGTCATAAAATCACAACTTTCACCTATTTTAACCAGTTTCAGACTGCAACTGTAAATAGACCTAAAAGGAAGTATGTACAGAATTACAATGAAGATCTCCACTAAGTTACACAAGAAATACAGAGTTGTGCAATAATTGTATCACTTGCAATGAGTTCATAGACACCTGGTTTCCTGGATGAACTTTCCCCCAATGTATCCTTCTAACATCTTCAGACCGAGCTTGAAGAACAAAACTGCAGAAACAAATCAGTGTCTCTAAGGACTCGTTTACACTTGCATTAGTCTCTGAAAAGCGTTCGGCGATGGACCAATTTTCAGAGAGAGGTTAAGCAGTGACTGTCAGGCATTGAGGACACAATGCTGCTGCCTCCTGAATACCCATTTTTTCTGCTGAACAGAGAATTTGAATGAGAATATGGTGCCGCAACCCATGAGCTCCCTCCTAGATTGTAAGCTCGTAAGAGTAGTAGGCCCCTCTTACCCCTCGTACGCTGTCTGTCTTTGTTGTACTGTGCCATGTATTGTCCCCCCCTATTGTACAGCGCTGAGCAAACCCCTTTGGCGCTATATAAACTCGTAGTAATAATAATAATAATAATAATGAGCTAAGCATTTGGCTCAAGACTGTGGTTAGGCCCTATTCACTTGAAGGGGTCTCAGTTGGAGGTGTTACTTCCTACCTTGCATGAAGCATGGGGTACATTTGTTTTGGTGTGCTTTCCTGAGACTGTGCCAGTGGGCACTAACATGGCCGGTAGTCATGATAACTTACAGCTGGTCTGTCAGGGCAGTAAAACCACAACTCAGCTGCCTATTGTTACCTCCTCCTCCTATGTAAGCCTTTGTAGCCTGAATATATCAATGGATTTTTTTTAACCTGTAGACATAGGTGTAGGTTTAGCAGTGATGCTCTTCAGGGGTTTGGAAAGCAGGGAATCCTCTGTAGCAGCCTTTCTCAACCAGGATTCCGTGGAACCCTAAGGTTCCTTCAGAGATGGCTGAGGGTTCCTTGAGCAGTGTTGGATTTATTTCCAACCCAATGCTGCCTACCTATTCCCAGTGTCATTCAGCAAAACAGGGCAGTCCTTCTTCCAATCACTGATGTAGGGAGAAACCTCTCCTACTGACCACCATTGTAAGTAGGCAACCCTATTACCGACCAGCAACAAAAAAAAGGAAACTTCTCCTTTGAGTTTCAATGTAGAGGATTAGTACAGAGATCAATGAGACAATAGGACGGTATTATCCTTAGTAATGAAGCCACAGTGATCTATTACAAATTTTCATATCATGAAAGAGGGCCCCTATATATGTTAGGGGTAAGGTATCCATCATCTCTATCACCTCAAGTGGTTAAGGAATGAGGAGAGTGAGCCAGGAAAGTTGAAAAGAAAATAATGAAAGGATAAAGATAAAAGAAAAAGGAGGAAAGAAAAGAAGAAGGGTACCCAGTTGGAAACTGAACTACTGGTTTCCTTGAGTATGGAAAGTGACAAATTATAATAGTCAGAGGAAGGCCTGAAGTCTATTTGAACTACAGAAATCAATCCAGGCACATCAGGCTTCCATAAACTTCGAGTGGTGTTGTAGGAGGCACTTTTATACCGACCTCCAGTATAAGAGAGCCACTTTTCCATTGACCATCGATAAAAAGGAACATGATGTCTCCACTGACCATAACAGAGGCACTCTATTGCCCACTAATGTAAGGGTGCAGTTTTCTACTTACCACCAATACAAATAGAATTTACAATTGTCACTGTGTTTCTTTTCTACCCACTACTATTGTTTGAAGTGGAAGTCCAGTCTAAACTTACCTAAGCTTAAATCTACTGCCATGCCCACTCTAGTGACTCAAGTTCTAGACTAACTACCTTATAAAAGATAGATGTGCATACTTATCTAATCTAAGTGCGCTTTGGTCTGGTCACGTGGTCGGCTCCCCGTGCCGGCTTCAGGGGAGAGGAGGTAGTAATTCTATGGGAGATGTCACTGCCCAGGCACTGCAGCCTTTGTTACTGATCTTCTCCCCTGAAGCTGGCTACTGGGGAAATCATGTGACCAGACAGACCGCCCTTACATTATGTAAGTATACACATCATTCCTTTACAGGGTAGTTAATTTAGGGCTTAGAAAACAATGCAGCTATGCCCCCTCCACTCTGCTACCCAATCAGAGAAGCTTTTCTATTTTGTGAATTAGTTGACACAATACAAAGGCTTCTGTGATTGGGCAGGAGGAGGGGAGGGGCCGGCATAGTAGCTGCATCTACTCTACACTTGAAGGAGCAGAGACCAGAGCTGTGCAGCACAGGAGGTATGGAAGCTATCTGGCTGGATGCAAATAAAAGCTGTCAGATATAAATAATAGAGATAATTCCAGGAGGTGTCAGGCACCTGATTGGAGTTAACTCATCACGTGCCTGCACTTTTTGCAAAGTTGCTAAATTCCTAAATTCAGCTTTAAGGTAAGATAAGTTTAGACCAGATTTCCATTTTAAGTTCATGAATTTTAATGACATTTAAGTTGTTGAATTCTGTGGAATGGTGTTAAAATATGATCTGCCATGGGTGTTAGATACATTAGGTCATATAGGCAACATCCCTGTAAAGTATGTCTCCATTATTATATCTACTTACTGATCTACATGTTATTGTACCCTGAACAGGGGAACCATAAATTATTTCAAAGCTTCCTCTGTGGTAAAAATGCTGAGAAAGGCTGCTCTATAGGAGTATGCCCAGAAGCAGATACAGCATTCAGAATAAAGAATAAAGATTTGACGGTGTTATGGTGCAATATTGTATCACTTGTGCAACTTATTTTATCTACTGGTGAGCACAGCTTTCTATGGAAATTGTTATTTTTTGTTTGCTTTTTCTTCTATAGCCAGTAACAGCCCAGGGCTAGTCCTTCTCCAGACTACATTGCTTTAATGACAGCCAAGAACAGTAAGGTTAGGGACCTGATTGTACTGTTTGGCAGGAGTGAATAACTGGCCCAAACCAATTAAAATTTTTTGACAATTTATATACAGTACATATTGTAATCTGGGAACTTGAGACCACCAGTCAGCCACTTATAAAAGTAGCAGTATATACTGAACTTGCAAAACAGGCTAAAAAACCAACAACTTCTTTCAGCAAAAATAAAGCAAACAGTCCATACTCCTGGTATAACAAAAAAATCAACAGCATGGCTCACCACCAGTATCTCAATGCCACACTTGGGTTTAGGATTCCCACCTCTTTTGGGGCACACGGCAAGCTACAGGAGCTCAGCAACACAAAGTCTCAGTCTCCTGTTGTTCACAGCTGTGAGCCACTCCACATTACCTCATAGATATGTGATGCTTCCTTCCTTTCAAGACTCCCTTGCATTTGGCTTAACCCCTCCAGGATCAAAGTCTCTGTAATCAGGGTTTGGAGGCTCCCAGAAGTCTTTCTGAACCTCTGAATTCTGGGTCCCAAATGAGAAATTGCCAGCCATGAGAGAACTGTAAATCAGTCCTTTTCTCTCCAACTGGACCACCCTGGAACCCCTCACCCTATGTGGATGAGAACCCATGACTACACTAAATGCATACAGTTTCCCCCCCCCCCCTTAAAGGGATCACAACTCAAATAATGGGGAAACATACACTCACCAGCCACTTTAAAACTTACACCTGTTCAATTGCTTGGTAAGACAAATTGCTAATCAGCCAATCACATGACAGCAACTCAATGCATTTAGGCATCTAGACGTAGTGAATAGGACTTGCTGAAGTTCAATCCGACCATCAGAATGGAGAAGAAAGGGTATTTAAATGACTTTGAACGTGGCATGGTTGTTGTTGCCAGACGGGCTGGTCTGAGTATTTGAAAAACTGCTGATCTACTGGGATTTGTCACACACAGCCGTCGCTAGGGTTAACAGAGAATGGTCCAAAAAAGAATATCCAGTGAGCGGCAGTTGTGTGGATGAAAATGCCTTGTTGGTGTCAGAGGTTAGAGGAGAATGAGCAGACTGGTTGCTTTGTCATTCAGATGGTAGGGTCAGAATGTGGCATAAACAACATGAAAGCATGGATCCATCCTGTCTTGTATTAATGGTTCAGGCTGGTGGTGGTGGTGTAATGGTGGGGGGGATATTTTCTTGGCACTAGCAAGGTGTACCTAATAAAGTGGCCGGTGAGTGTACAATATATTGCCAAAAGTATTGGAGTGCTGATGTCGGTTGAGAAGGCCTGGCTCGCAGTCCCCGCTCTAATTCATCCTAAAGGTGCTCTATTGAGTTGAGATCAGGACTCTGTGTAGGCCAGTCAAGTTCCTCCATCCCAAACTCGCTCATCCATGTCTTTATGGACCTTGCTTTGTGCACTGGTGTGCAGTCATGTTGGAACAGGAAGGGGCCAACCCCAAACTGTTCCCACAAAGTTGGGAGCATGAAATTGTCCAAAGTGTCTTGGTATGCTGACCCATTAATAGTTCCCTTCACTGGAACTAAAGGGCCAAGCCCAACTCTGAAAAACAACCCCACACCATTATCCCCCCTCCACCAAACTTTACACTTAGCACAATGCAGTCAGGCAAGTCTGTTCTCCTGGCAACCCGCCAAACCCAGTACATTTTCTCAGATGCCAGACAGAAAAGCATGATTCGTCACAAGTACAAGTCTCCTGGTCTAGAATCAGTGGTGGCGTGCTTTACACCACTGCATCCAACACTTTGCATTGCACTTGGTGATGTAAGCTGGCTGCAGCTGCCTATTACCATGAAGCACTCTACACACTGTTGTGCTAATATGAAGTCCACACAAAGTTTGGACATCTTTAGCTTTTGACTCTGCAGACAGTTGGTGACTTCTGCACACTGTGCGCTTCAGCATGCGCTGACCCCGCTCTGTGGTTTTATGTGGCCTACCACTTCGTGGCTGAGTTGCTGTTGTTCCCAGTTACTTCCACTTTAGTATAATACTAATAACAGTTGACCGTGGAATATTTAGTAGCAAGGAAGTTTCATGGATGGACTTATTGCACAGGTGGCAACCTATCAAGGTACCATGCTTGAATTCACTGAGCTCGAGAGAGCAACCCATTAATTCACAAATGTTTGTAGATGCAGTCTGCATGCGTAGGTGTTTGATTTTATACACATGTGGCCATGGAGGTGATTGGAACATCTAAACAAAATGATTTGGAGGGGTGTCCCAATACTTTTGGCAATCTAGTGTATATCCATATATTCAAGACTCAACCCTGGCTTCCTGAACAATTTCCCTTTTTAGTTCCCTTTTTCAAATTCTTGAATGTTACTTTAAGATTGACTAATTTAGCAAAATGAAACAGAGAAAAACTTTGGGTTTCCATTAGACTTGCCTGTTTATATTTAACCTGGTAGGTGTCACTTTGCTAATCTCACTGCCTTTCCGAAGGCACCAAATAAGAACACCAAAGAAGAATAATGTCATATCCAATTAACACTTCTTGTCTTAGAATAACAGCAAGTTGCACGAGGACGAAGTTAAACTTATTTGTTCGATGTGCTGAAATAACTGTAAAAAGCTGTGGGTTTGCCTCTGTTCCCTAATGTCTTTCCTGTCTGCTGATGATAAATGAGTAAAGTCTACAACGAGCACATACAACACAATGCACAAACACCGCTCCAGGCCACAATACCCCAGTTAACAAACCATTGCTGATTGTCAGGAGAATTCTAAATAGAATTCCGGAATTAAAAATGAACTGGTAGAATTTGTAGGCTTTGTGCTATGATTTTTACAAGCATATTTCTGTTTTGTAGCTGTTCATGCATACTGACTCTCCATATACAATCCATATATGGAATTAAAGGATAGCTGTAGCTTCATTAAAAACAAATGTCTGGAATAGTGGACATTTCAGTACCTTTGCAATATACATAGTATATTAAAAATGTTTTATACATATATATATATATATATATATATATATATATATATATATATATATATATAGCAATATAGCTGTCCTCCCTGTTAAAATATCAGTCCTTGAGTTTCGGTCAATTAACATCCCTAGATGTAATCAGTCTGCTGCAGGCAAGAGGAAGCATTTCCTCAGTCTTCTCCCAGTGATCAAACTGCAACATTGTAATTCGTCTGCAAAACACCTTGTGCTCAATAAGCCAGAAAAATGTTTTTTATGATGCCCTTTCATCTTGGTTCACTTTGTTACCAAAAATTTGATTTTGGGGACCAGGGGCGGACTGACAACTCATGGGGCCCCCGGGCAATAGGGGATCATGGGGCCCCTGTGTCCTTGCCCAAACTCAAAAAAGCCTATGAAAAAGGTACCAGGGGCATCTCATGGGGCCTACTACTGACCCCGGGCCCTCGGGCAGTGCCCGAGTTTCCAAATGGTCAGTCCACCCCTGTTGTGGACAAACCCTACCCCTCTAGCTAAGCCACACCCATAATACCCCTATGCAAGAGAACACATGGCAAAAATGACATTCCTATAGACAGGGAGGTGACAGATGGGTGGAGCTTAGCCTCAAAGTCAGGGAATTCGAGGACCTAGTAAGAAAGTGAAGCTAAATCAGAAGGACGCATAAAGGGGATTGGTATGTTCTTTTAGGCATAAGTTTAAAATGGCACACAGGTTTCCTTTAGATCATCAAACACTACAAAGGATAATGTGCAGCACATATCCTTAGTTCTAATCTCGGTAAGGGCACTATCTCCATAGAGTTTGCATGTTCTCCTAGTGCTCCTATGTGTTTCCTCCAGGTACTCAACTTTCCTCCCACACTCCAAAGACATGTTGATCCCAAGCCCATGCAAATGGAGATGGTTAAGGAACGACCTACTGACTTACCTTGTAAAAAAAAAGAAAATATAAAAACAAATTCCATGGAAGAGGTTCTCAAGTGTATCAGACATGGTGCCAAAGAGCTGGGCCATGGAATTGCTGAAAAGTAGGGTAAGACTGTAAATATATATCACACACACACGCACCAAAGTGTACCCTTTATGTAGAACAATGCTTCCCAATCTCAGCCCTCAAGTACCCCTAACAAGCCATGTTCTGGGAACTTCCCGTAGGTAAATTAGCTGTATAACATAAGCCATTGACATCGATTTAAAGCACCTGTGCAAGGTGAAGTAAATCCTAAAATCATGACCTGTTAAGGGTACTTGAGGACTGAAGCTGGGAACCACTGATGTAGAAGGATCCAGTTAAGGAATGCATTATTTAAATCATACAGACCTGTATCTCCTCCTTGGCCCTTTTATTTGCTGGGATGCAAGAAGCCGGGGTCAGGCTAAACATTAATCATTGCAAGCCTGTCTGACTCCACCTCTCCAAAATCCAATTGAAAACTGCTGTCAGTGGAGAAATACAGAACTGTATGGGGTTCATCAGACCAGCCACCTCTTAAACTGGATTTTTCTTTCTATATTTAGCAATGTGCACTCAATAATTTAACTATTTCAGTCACTATTTTTTTTAAAGTGTAGTTATCCTTTAAAGGTTTTGAATATATCAAATTCCTCTAAGCTCTAGAATTTGATTTCTTTTTTACTACTGGAAAAAAAAATATTTTGATTTAAATAAATTCAGCGACATCCTGCTGGAGAGGTGTCTGATATAACGCAGGATGTCTGTGGTTCTCAAGAAACCTTTAAAAGTAATAATTTCCCATCCTGTTACAAGCTTTCTCCAGGAAACTTGAATTCAAGTGTAAGAGCCACAACCATACAAGCCAGAGAGCAGAAAACATGATCTATGTTTAATAGCACGGTATGCAGACAACCAACCAGCTTTAAAAAGCCCATGCAAGGCAGAACAATGATCTGGTGCTATGAGTTACTGCGCATCACTTGTTGTACTGGCCCATTAAAGGGAAACATACGCAAGCTGGGATCAATGACGACCATGAAATGCAAACCCAAGCTGTTTATGTGAACACAAAAAATTCATACTTGGAGATCCTACCAGTAACAGCATTTCCAGTTGAAGGCTGATAACAATGAATTTCGCAATTAGCAGCAGTGATAACATCTGTCTGCCACGCATGCAACATCAGTTGGTTGTTAAGCCAGCCATTAGGTCTATCAGACAGGCAGGCCAACATTTGCTCCTGACAGGTGCCATATGCAATTTAATGAGTACATATACAAAACTAGTTTTGTTTACTAAATGGTTACATTTACAAGACAGCCTAGTCTGTTCTAATGCCATTCCTGGGGGGCTATGGGGGTGTATACCAGGTTGCACCACTTTAAAAGGTGCCTTGGTGTGGCCACTGGTGACATGCAGAGTGATAGTGGTGAGCAGGGTGACGGAACACTCTCTGCACCTGACACTGAAAGAAACCAAAACTATCAGGTGGAGTGATTTCCATCCGGTAGAGAGACAATAGTGCAGGAGCATATGCTCAGGAAAGTAAACACCGGACACCAGTGCTGGGGGGTTATTGTATTGTGATAGCCAACCACTAATAACTGATGCTTGAGGGGGATGTTATTGTTACAGCCAGCCACTGACCACCTATGCTGGGGGGTTTATTGTTACGGACAGCTACTGACCACCTATGTTGGGATTGGGTACTGCTGTGGGAGGGGGGATTTTTACAGTCTACTACCATCCACCAATGCTAGGGGTTATTTTCTACCATTGCTTGGGGGTTTTTGTTACATCCATCTGGTGACCACCAATGCTGGGGGGTTATTTGTACAGCCTGCCACTTACCATTAATGTTGGGCGCTTACTTTTACAGCCTACCACTGATCCCCAATACTGGGAGGTAGTTTTTACAGCCTAGGACTGACCGCTAATGCTAGTAGGTAATTTTTACAGCCTGGCACTGATCACTAATGCTGGGAGGTTAACATAACTACCACTGACTAACAATGAAAGGAGGAATATTGCGGCCCCTTGCACCAATACTGGAGGTTATTACTGTGCCACTTACACCAATGCTAGGGGGTTATTATTACTACCACTGACCACCAATGAAAAGGAGAATATTACAGCCATGTACACTAGTACTGGAGGTTATTATTGTGCCACTATCACCAATGCTGGGGGTTATTACTACCGCTGACCACCAATGAAAGATGGAATATTGTATCCACTTACACCAGTATTGGAGGTTATTATTGTGCCACTTACACCAATGCTGGGGGGTTATTATTACTACCACTGACCACCAATGAAAGGTGGAATATTGTATCCACTTACACCAGTATTAGAGGTTATTATTGTGCCACTTACACTAATGCTTGGGGTTATCATTACTATTACACACCGTCACTGAAAAGGAGACTATTACAGGCACTTACACCAATACTGGAGGTTATTATTGGTCCACTATCACAAATGCTGGGGGTTATTATTGCTATCACTGAATGCCAATGAAAGCAGGAATATTGTAGATGCTAGCATCAATGCTGCTTCTCTAGGCTTCTTCACCTTGGCCAGATTGACATGCTTAGTTCTGTCTCTCTGTATAAAGTTGCAGTCGTACTTATAGCTGCTGATGTCTGCCTTCCATTGCTCAGTTTTGATCCCATCTTCAGAAGCACAACATTTAATGTCATCATTATTATTGAAAATCATTTTGATGGGGAAGAGGTGTTTAAAAAAAAAAAATCTGTGCCGAGTGTCAAACATGCTACATACACCACTGGTCTGTCCTAGAATTATTATTATTTTCTGCAAAAGTGGAGTGACACTTTAAATGAACCTATTGATTTCTAGATTTTCCTTTCACAAACACATCCAGTATTTCTTTTTGTGAGTTACTGTACAATTACAGTACTGAACTATGCCATAAATATAAAAGCCAAAAATAAAATGGCTTCTCATATGTTCTAGACATGGATGAACAGCTTAATGTTGCATGGTTGGATGTATTAGTCATCCTCGCACAGATATGTCATCCCTAATAAATTGGCCCATACACCTAACTGCTGGAACCTGCATACAGTGGGGAAAGATTATATATAGACGAGCTCTGGGAATTTCCGGCTAAATGCTGACATTCAACAGAAGTAACGCTGACTGGCTGCAGGAGTAAGCTGGAATAAAGATGTGTTGTATAATTGTTTAGACGAACCAACTCCCCGTGAGACAATAAACCTTC